GCATATGTTGCTATTTTTCAAAATACTCATAATTATACCCCGTACACACACACACACACACACACACACACACACACACTCAGGATACCTAAGCCTGGATTAAATTTCCTGGAACTCTGAATTCACAGGAGAGGAATATTCCTTTACATTTATATTTACATGGCTTATATTACATGAATGTGTTCTCATTGTAAAATAAGGCAAAATAACAGACATATGGAAAAAACAAGCTTTTATCTCAGCCCTCCAAATACCATTTCCTTCCTCAGAGGTAATTTATCCCAATTAAAAGTTTAGCCTTCTGGGCTGGTGCTGTCCAGAACTCCTGTGATGATATAAATGTCCTTTTTCAGCACTGTCCATATAGTATCCACTGGCCAGACACGGTTATTGAGCACCTGAAACCTGACTAGTGTGACTAGAAACTGTTTTACACTTCAATTTTAATCAATTATAATTTGAATTTAAATAGCCACATGTTGACTATGGCTGCCATATTAGCACAGTTCTAAGCTATTTCTACATAATTACCCCCCTCCCATGGTAATGGGGTTTCACTGAGCTGCACCCCTAGCCCTTTTTTATTTTTAGTTTGAGATAATATCTCACTAAGCCACTAAGTTGCCCAGTCTGGGCTCGAAACTGAGATCCTCCTACTTCAGGCTCCCAGAGTCCTGGATTTATAGACATGTGCCACCACTCCTGGTTTCTCCCTCTCTTTTTATTGTAAGTGGCCTCATACTGTATAACATGCATACATCTCGTTTTGGGGCTTGCTTTGTGCATTCAATGAAATATCTTAGAAATCATTCCCCATCAGGACAAGAAGTGATACACAAAGAGTGATCAAAAAATGCACTTAGGTTTTAAAACTTTACTACAATAAAAGTCACATTACCATGAATCCCCCCTCAAAACACTCCTCCTTCCTTTGAACATACTAACTGATGTCTTCCTGTAATTCTCAATTTTTGGTTTCAATTGGCCTAGTCGTCATCAGTCAGTGATGCATGTTGTCTAAGTACAGGTTCTATCAGCCATTTTTTGTGCTCAAGTAATAGTTACATTGCATATTTTATATGGTACCTAATAGCTTTTGCTTTGAGTAAATATTTGACAATATCTAACTGAAGAGATTCTGCAATGAAATGCCCAACATATATAATGTCTTTCCCTTTAAAAAGCATGGTGGAGCCGGGGATTTAGCTCAGTGGTTCCACTTGCCTCGGAGGTGCAAGGACCCGAGTTCAATTCCCAGTACCAAAAAAACCAAAACCAAACAAAACAAAAGCATGGTGGAGCCAGATGTGGTGGCACACACCTGTAATCCCAGCATTCTGGGAGGCAGAGGCAGGAGGATGGCAAGTTTGAGCTCAGCTTGGGCAATTTAGTAACAGTGACAACTTGGCAAAAACAAAACAAAAACAAACAAAAAAACAGGAGGAGGCCGGGGATTTAGCTCAGTGTGAAGGTCCTGAGTCAACTCCCTAGTATAAAATAAAGCCTGTTGGGAATATGGCTTGGTATGATATTGTAATCATACACTTTACATAACCTGAATTTGCCTGATAAATAGGCAACAAATTCACATGCAATGACTGTTTTCCTGAGCTCCCAAATTAAGTAGAAAGAAGATTTTTTTGTCTTTTTTTTTTTTTTTTTAAGATTGAGACAGGGTCTCACTACGTAGTTGAGACTGACCTGGAACTCACTATGTAGCCCAGGCTGCTCTTGAACTCACAGAGATCCTCCTGCCTCAGCCTCTCGAGTGCTGGGATTACAGGCGTGTGACACCACACCCGGCAAGTAGAAAGAAGTTTTATCATGACCTGGCTTCAAGTCTGTCTTGCATATGTGAGGTCCAGGGCTTCTTAAACCTTTAAAATCCTCACTCTCCTGCTAAGCACAAATTTTATATACTTTTTCAAGCTTGAGTTTGAGATCTGACTCTGAGGGGGAAATATTCTATCCCCTGATGATCCCCACCAGTCCAGAGGCTCAGTTTCTATAATTTGCATGTCAAAAAGAATAAGGCTTTCATTCTAAACATGAAATTATTGAAAATTGAGTATGCCTTTTGAAACTAATACCTTCTCCCATTCTAAAAGGGCTGCCTTCACTTTGGAAGATTGCTGATCCACAGCCAATTCTGTTTATTCCTTTATTATTTCCCTCTTTTATTTATCTACCCTCCGAATATCTGGGTGGTGAAGAGGCTGAAACTTGCCAGTAACTACATGTACTTCATTTGACCCATTTCACTAAATCTGCGTGAAAACATGGTAACTTGCTTTTATTTCCTCAATTAATTGTTTCCTTTGGTTCCCCCTTCTCTAGTTACTAGGAATTTCAGCATCTCTTCTCGGAGGTCTCTCCGTCCTAATTGTCTGAGAATCCTGAGTGTTTCTTTCATTCACAGGGAGCCAAAATGGCGCCTGAATCTGAGGACTGTACCAGTTGCTATGGCTTCTTGCCAGCAATTGGTGTCACTGTGGGAGACAGGTCCTGTACAATTCAGCGGAAATATTGCCTACCAGGTGGAGTTGTGATAAAAGTTAAATAAGCAATTACATTTAAAGTTAGATAGATAACACGGTACTAAGTAGGAGCTTGAGATTTAGCTGTTGCGTTACTGGGCCCCAGCCTGTATCTTCTGCAGTGCGTAGAGCAGAGTAACCTTGGAAACTTCCAGCTTTGGCAAATGGTGAGGAATAGGTGGTGGCCTTGGTGCCCCGCAGGCTTCTAGATAACCTGGCAGCAGGTGGACCCGGTCCTTGCCCCTCTTATTCTCAGTTGGTCTGAGCTTAATCTGCCTGTTTATGTGGAAGAGGTAGAACTTGAAGAGCATAGAATTTCTTATAAATGAAGTGATTTGATCTAGCCCAAAAAAGGAAGGTTTAAAAATATAATAATCTGGGGTGTTTGGACTGAATAAGAAAACATTGCCTCAGGTCACAGGGCTGATTGGCCCTGACTAGGTCTTGCTCAATGTAGAGTTTCACTCTCAACTCAAAAGCTATTCTGCCTTGCTTTGGAAGTCAATGTTCTGGAAAGTAAGGCTGTGGCTTATTTATTTTGCATTGTCCTCGTTCCAAGTGCACTTCTTGTGTACAACAGGAAATAATCCCTTTCCATGTCAGCTGCTGTTAAAGACGCTTATTGTGCACACACAAGCGCATGCATGTGCTCAGGAATTCTCTCTGCCCTTCATCTCTTCCATTCTCCCCTTTTCTTGCTTCTGGGCTGCAATAATTAAGACCAAAATATACAGCATACGCAATCTTTTCTTCACTTTGAGTAACCACTGTTGTTTTACAAATTCCTCTGTCTTTGCTTTAATTACCAGATTTCACACCCTCTCGAATACACCTTTCTTGGAAAATGGCAACACCTCATCTCTTTAATAAACTTTGTGACTAGCACATAAAAGATCTCCAAATAGTAATTTATTTTAGATCATATGAAAAAGATTCACTGTCTATATATGAAATAAGGCTACCCATTTGTGTTGTGCCCTCAAGTCCATTCATCACAGTTTGCTTGTTTCTATAGGTGACTACATTTTATATCGTTATATCAAAATATGCATTATTATGTATGTTATATAACAATGAGTAATGCCAACAAATAATAATAGCTACAATTTATTGAGTATCAGATATGTTATACATATGATCTCTGTTTCACAACCCTGCAAGATAATTGTACATCTTATAGATGAAGCTGAGCTTCAAATAAGTTAAGGAATTTTCTTTTAAGATCACACAAAGTCAAATACATTTCTCATCTCATCTCTAGCTCCTGCTAAAGTGATGACGGACCATTCATAATTTTCCTTGCCACACTTTGTTGGACTGGAGTGCTTTACCCAACTCCAGCCAATCCAGGTTGTGGCCTGAGTTGAAAAGATGTCTGGCCAGTCAGATTCTGCAGTAAGAAAAAAAAAATTTTTTGCAGTGCTGAGGTCAAACCCAGGGAATTGTGCATAATACCACTAAGCTACACCCTAGTCCTGCCTTAGAAATGTGAAACTGGAAACATGGAAAGCAGCTGTGAGTTGGTAGGAACAGAATTGTGAGGGAGGCTGAGAAGGCCATGCTTCAAGCTGAAGTTCTAGGGAGCAGAAACCAGCAGAGATTTTAATGCGGAAGGATGTCAGGTAAACAAGAGTGAGCAGAAAGAATCATAGGATTGATGTGGAGTGCTTGGCACTCTGGGGCCACCTTCCTGCCTCTTTCCTCCTTTTTTGCAGACTCATTGTCAGAGGATCCCTAAAATAAACCTTTCATCCCTTGAGCTTAGTGTCAGTTCCTTTAACTAGCAGAACCAAACTAAAATATACAGTCAGTAAGTGCTGTGAAGGGGATTTGAACTCTGGTTTTGTGGGCAGTCTGTACTCCTTTGCCACATTATAAATGCTACTCTAGTCCCCCAGAGCCTACAAGGTCGCCTTAATTTGTCCGAAAAAGAACTAATAATGGACTTCAGTTCCCCGAATCCTTGTCCCAAGCCTTGGTTTGCTTCCAGAGTCCTGAAGAAGGGGGTGTGGGTTAAGAAAGTCTCAGGCAACTGGGAGGTCTCCCAACAAAACTGGGCAGGTCTCCCACATCCAGGGGGGAAGGTGCTGTGACGGGGAAAGGGACGGGTGTTGGGGATCAGCAGAGACCAGGGGCTCTTCAGGGAAGGGGTTGGTCTTAACCCCACTTTTAGCCTCAGCCTCTAAAGAAGCGCCTGATATATATATATATTTGGATGAATGAATGGCAGATGTGGGTCACAGCCTCTGCTCAAATGGATGGGTCCCTCCTCGGTCAAAATCTTCTCACGGTAAGGAACACCTGTCTCCATCTCTAAGAAACGATTCATGCAGCACTGTGAGCAACATTCACAGTGACGAGTCAACTTTAGCTTTAAAAACCCCAAATGCTGTCGTGGTGACTGTGGTAATGTCAGGGGCTCAAAGGCTCACAAATGGACAAGTCTGGATTGCATTTACCCTGTTTACAAAAACACCACTCGCTTTGTCTTCCTCTGTCTGCAGAGAGTGAGGTTTTCATTTTAAGAGGCTGACTAAAAAATGCAGGGCCACTTCCTGGGCAGGCTTCCAAGTGACTACATCTTTCTCAGAGCGTTCCCCAGAGCCCCAGCCCAAGCTGCCTGGGGCGGGGCCTGCAGCCATTGGTGGTTGGTGAAGCTACCACAGTAACAGTTATCTGCAGCCCGCCAGAATTGCTGTGCTTTTAGGCCCTCCCAGAGTCCAGATAACGACCTTGCCCTCTGCGCTGAAGACACGTCAGAGTTTGTGATTGGCCAGGCTGGTGTGTGTGAAATACAGGAGATGTCGTGCCACACTTCCGAGTATGACGTTCCTTTCAGCCCAGTACCCCAGGTGTGGGTGAGTCTAAATGTTTGAAGACTGCCCTCGTTGGTGGAAATGTTCAAAGCTGGGCAACCTGACTTCCCAAGGGCATGACTTGGCATATTTTTTAAAATCCTGCTGAGCCTCAGTTGCCTTCTCTGTGAAACAGGGATAGGATTATCCTGTACTTTAGAAAGATAGAAGCACGTATCCATCAGAGAGTGTTTTGAGACTTAAAAGTGATAACAGATCCACAGCACCTCTCTGGTAGCTGATACATGGTAGACACTGAAAAGCTCTTATTATTTCTGTAGCACCGATCAAAATGGGGGAGGGGGAGGTCCAGTGACTGCCCAGTCTTGATTTCTAGCAGTACAATATTTCTCTGAGAGACTCAGCAGACATGTTGCTTTTTAATCCTGTCTGTACAGCCAACAGAAATCAAACTTCAGGGGAAGATAGTGCTGGAAAATGAGGACATACATCAGACTACATTCCCTTTCTTTTTTTTCCTTTCTAGACCCTGACTGCACCTGCCCCATTTGCAGATGAAACCAGCTGCCAGTGCCAAGCACCCCATGAGAAACTGACCATTGCTCAGGCTCGCTTGGGAACACCAGGTGAGGCTGCATTTACTGCTCAACAAGTGGGCCCTGTCTCAGTATTGCAAGTTTCAGAAAGTTGTGTCATTATTTGAGCAGCACTTGCTTTCAATCAGATAGTTGAATGTAGAGGCATCAAACATTAATGGTGATAAACTAGACTGGTCAAAGTAGCCAAGTAAAAGGTGCAGCAGAGTACCCAAGTTTGGGCCTTATCTCCACCCTTTATTACTTCTATAGCTTTGAGCAAGTCATGAAACAGAGCTGAGTATGTTTCTTCATATGCAAAACAAGAATGTGTGTGTGTCTGTGTGTGTGTGTGTGTGTGTGTGTGTGTGTCTGTGTGTGTGTACTGGGCATTGAACCCAGGGGCTTGCATATGCCAGGCAAGTGCTCTACCACTGAGCTATATCCCCAGTACCACCCCCTTATTTTTTGGATACAGGGTCTTGCTAAGCCATTAAGTTGCTGAGGCAGTCCTTAAACTTGAGATCCTCCTGCCTCAGCCTTCTGAGTAGCCGAGACTACAAGCTTGCACCACTGTTCCTGGCTCCACAAGGCTTTTGTGACAGCTAGATTCAGTTTAAAGTACCAAAGCACTTTTTAAACTATGGAGGCCTTTATGAACCTAAACTACTATAATTATTATTCATTAAAGTCTGTCATTTAAAAAAGTTTTGAGTATGTCTTAAAAAGAGTACTTTCCTACAGAAGTTTGTTCATGCATTCCTTCCTAGCATATAGCAGAGGATGGATAGTGAAGAATTTTAAAAAGAACCATAATGTACCATTTCTGTCTCCCACAGGCTTTCATGATAACTAGAGAGACAAGACAATTAGATAGGAAATAAAAATCACAAGTAGTAGGTATCTATATGCTTACAGGTTAAATCCTGTGACACAGATGATAGATGACAATTTCAACAAGGGTGGATTCACTTGGCCTGAAGAGGTCAGGGAAGATTTCAGAAGGGGAACAGAACATAACAGCACCTTTAGGGGAGAAGTAAGATTTAGACTCTGTGGGTAGAAAAATGGGAATGTATTTCAGGAGGGTACAATAGGAACAGTGAAGGCACAGAGACAGAGAAAGTGGGGGTAGATGAGTGTTGTTCCAGTTGATGAGGAGGAAGTGAAAATAAGGCTAATTGAGCAGACAAATCTTGAATCATTTTTGATAATACAACTACGTGGTTTCCACTTGCCATTGTAAGAAAACAACCCAAACTTAAAAGGATCCATGGAGGGAAAGGACAGTTTGCTAAATAATAATAATAATGGATAGGTATTAAGTGCTTACTATGCACTAAGCTCTCGGATGTATTGTGCCATTTCACTGTCACGACTCTACACAGTTAGTACTATTAGTGTTTCATAGATAAGGAAATGAAGGCTCAGAGAGCTTTGAACCTGCACAAGGTCATCCAGCTAGTAGGTGGCAGTGGTTCTCACAGGGTGCATCAGAATCACCCGGAGAACTCATTAAGACACAGATGGCCAATTCCATTCAAGTGGAGTGGAGCCCAAGAAGGTGTACCACTAACAAGTTCCAGGCAAAAGTAGGACATGGCGATATATATCTGTGATCCCAGCTTCTTGGGTTGCAGGACGATTGCAAGTTTAAGGCCAGTCTGAGCAATTTAGTGAGGCCCAAAATAAACAATGAAAAAGATCAGTGATGTGGTATAGCAGTTGTTTAGCAGGGGTTAAATCCACCATACTATGACAAACAAACAAACAAATTCCCCAATTCCTCAGGTGCTGCTCTATGGACCACGCCTAGAAAACCATTGTTGAGTGGTAAAGCTTGTATTTGATCTCAGTCCTGTTCATGCAGAGCTTGACTTCCTATCTTTGACACTCCACTTCTCTTTAAGAACAGATTTCAAGGGCTGGAGATTTAGCTCAGTGGTTCTGCTGCCTGCCTCACAAGTGCAAGGTCCTGAGTTTGATTCCTAGTACAAAAAAAAAAAAAAAAAAAAAAGAATAGATTTCGAGCTTGGCATGGCACAGTGCACACCGGTAATTCTAGCACTCTGGGAGGCTGAGGCAGGAAAATTATGAAGAAGGTCAAGACTTAGAGAGACCCTGTCTCAAAAGCAAAAGAAAACAAAGAAAGAGAAAAGAAAAACAAACAAAAAACCCCCAGGCCTAGGGATGTAGCTCAATGCAAAGGCCCAAAGGTCTTGGGCTCAATCCCAAGTGCTTGGGGAGAGAGAATGAAAATGGGAAAGAAAGAAAGCAAGAAAGCAAGCAAGCGAGCTGCGAGCTATCGGGAGAATGAATTGCGGAGGAGGGTAGGAAAGAAAGTTAGTAAACTTTTTCATAAGCTTCTTTTAAGATAGGCAACAAGAAACTTGAAGAGATAGCTTAAAGCAGTTGTCCCCAGACTTTAGTAAAAGTCACCTGATAAGCTTATTAAAGAAGTAGATTCCCTGCTCTGCTCCCCACATCGTCAAATCGGGGATGTGGGATGGGTACCTCCACTTTTAAAAACAGCCTGGGTGTTTCTGAAGTTGGCTGCCATACACTGAGAAATACTGGCCCAGCAATAAGTCCAGAGGATGCCAAATGAAAGTCCAGATGTGTGTTAGCTTTCTGACAAAGTCACAAAATACAGCGATACCTTGGTTCATGAATGCTTTTGTTTGTGAATAATTTGGTTCACAAACAAAAGCATTTGGCAAAATTTTGTTTTTGCTTGTGAACTCTGCATTGGATGGCAAACATGACCACGGCTGTCTTTCCCACACAAACACAAACATGGTCATCTCTTCCAAAATTGTGGAACAAATTAAGTTCGTGAACCAAAGTACCACTGTACCTGAGATAAACAATCTAAAAGGAAGAAAAAGTTATTTTGGCTTATAGTTTCAGGGGTTTCAGTCCATGGTCTCTTGTCCAGCCCCCCCGCCCCCGATTTGGGCATGTGTTGAGGCCGAACATTATGGCAGGAAGTGTGTGGTGGAACAAAACTGTTCACATCATGGCAGCTGGAAGTGAGAAAAAGCAAGAGGAAAGGCTGGGGGGACCCAATATACCTTTCAGGGGCACTCCCCCAGCGACTGGACTGCCTCCAATGAAGCTCTACCTCTTCAAGTTTACCTCCTTCCAATATTGCCTTTAGCTGAGGACCAAGCCTTTGACATTTAAGATCCAAACCATATTGAGGTGGTTACAAAGAAAGCAGATTTGACCTAAAGTTAAAGATGAGTTTCAGGTTCAGGCAAAAAAGAATTTTTTTTTTCCTGTGGAAAGGGAAAGAAAGTTACTATATAACTAAACTTACTATACATCCACTTGATGTGATGCTTTGTACTCTGTCTCATTTAATCTTTGCAAAAACCGTGTGAGATGGGTATTATTGTGTCATTTCTACAGCGGAGGCAAATGAGACTCAGAGAACTGAGAAGTAACTTGTCACAGGTCCTAGCTGACTGGGTAGAGCTGGAATTCAACCTCAAACCCTTCCTTTTTCCATCACAAAGGGCTGCCCTGGTCCTCAGCTAAGTGAAAGTATACTAAGGCTTTGAGCTGAAGGGTGAAAGGAGGGTGAATAAGACAGATGAAGAATGTCCACATGTAACAATAAGTTGATATATCTATTTTTCTTTCATTCTGTAACCTCCCTCTCCCTCCCCCGCTCCCTTCCGCAGTCCCTCCCCCGCTGCTTTTATTCTTGAAGTGAATTTGTTAAAGAGAAGGGACCAGGTTTCTCTTTTTTGTTTTTGATCCTGTAGAGTTCCCCAAGTCTTGAAATTGCTGACACACAACAATTTAAAAAAGTGAACTCACTGCAAAATCAACTCTGCAAATACTCTTCAAATTTACTAAATGGCCTTTTTTCTCAGTAATTATATCATCTGTCTTTACTTTTCTTTCCTCTTGCTTTCTGAATTCATTTATCGCGATCACCTCTGAATCATTAACAAAAAGATCTACAAAACTACCATCTGCTTTCCCATGCAGTTTATATCTTAAAACAAATTTTCCTCAATTGAATTCAAATTGAATAAAAGCATTGAAACCAAGGATCCCTCATTAGACAGTTTGTTATTTCAAAGCATTTTCTGTTTACTGTGCCTTATTCAGAATATAGTATAATCCTGTGAAGGCAAGTCTGTTTGTTCAAAATAGTGTATAATTGAAAATAGTTGCAGTTCCTAATCTGACTTAAAGTCTCTAGATTTTTTTATTAGAGAAATTTAATTTACTAGAATCATTGCACCCATCTGAATCTATTAATGTAATATTTCTTTATGTTGTAAGTTAATGAGGTTGAATTGTTTTACATATAAGAAATAATCATAATTTAAAATATAGGTCCTAGGGCGGGGGATTTGGCCCAGTGGTTCTACCACCTGCCTCGAAAATGCAAGGCCCTGAGTTCCATCCCTGGAACCAAAATATATTTATATCTGTGTGTGTGGGGTGTGTGTGTGTGTGTGTTCAGTTAGCTATATGTAACAGATAGTCTCATATTCTTTTTTCCATATTTTTATTGACATCTAATAATTGTACTTACTTAGGAGATACAATGTGATTTTGTGTGGGTACTGGGGATCAAACTCAAGGCCTTGAAGTTACACCTCCAGCCCTTTTCCTTTTAATTTTGAGACAGAGTCTCCTAAGTTGCTAAGTTGCTCAGGCTGGGTTTGAATATATGATTTTTCTTGCCCAAGTTTCACAGAGTGCTGGGATTACATGCATACACCACCATGCCTCAATGTGATGTTTTAATTCAGGTTTATGTTGGGTAATAATCAAATGGAAATAACTAGAGTAGAATAGTGGTTACAAAACCCTTAGAAGAATAGGAAGAGAAGGACAGAGAGAAGTTGGTCAATATGTACAAGGTTAGCCAGGTATGGTGGTGCATGCTTGTAATTCCAGCACTCTGGGAGGTTGAGACAAGAATACCACAAGTTCAAGCCCAGCTGGGGCAATTTAGCAAGACCTTGTCTCCAAATTTAAAAATCAAAAAGGGCCTGGGATATACTTCAGTGTGAAGGCTCTAGGTTCAATCCACAGTACTGCAAAGAAAAGCAAAAACAAGTGCAAGGTTAACGTGAAATTGGAGCAGTTGGGGGAGTAT